AATGCCCTCCCACATAGATTAATCATCATCAGATCAAGGCAGAGGTTCAGTGTAGGAAGGGGATTCGTGTGTAGGGAGGGTAGTCGAATTTCACATGACATGCCACAATAGCCCACTTTGTGAACATCGGGAAAGTTGTGGTTTATTTAACAAAATATAAAAGTCATTTCCTTGTTTGAGAGGCCAATCAAAGCTTGTGTGTCTCTTAATTTATGTGTCCTCCTCTAACCTTCAACTCTTTTGAAATTTAACAACCTACCAGCTGACACCTTTTTAAAAGGTTGGATGCACAAGATGAAAGCAAGGACACAACAGTAACATGACACAGGTGGGGTATGGCCATTCTTACCAGATAAAACAACACACTGTGGCCAGAAGCTGTGTGTGTGTATTTTTTTTCCCAGCTCTTCATGCTAATCACATGCAGATTATTTGCAACTCAATGCAGGCCCCACTTCCTCTGTGGTGAGGAAGAGATATTGAATATTTGTAAATGAGCTTCCTTGTAGCATAGATTAAGCTGCCACAGTGGTCAGCTAGTCATAAGTGTTTTTTATTCTGCAGCTGATCAGGGTCCATGTTGGATCTTTAGTAGCTAAAGTAAATAAAGTAAGAAAAAATGTGTCTGGCATTTCAGTTTGGATTGCCTTCTTATTAATGCATGGTGTGCATATTGCCCTTATGATAATGATTATTTTGAAATATAAATGCAGTTCTCAAATGACTGTAGAATGACATCTTTTAAAAAGTTATATTTTAATAGTTGAAATACTGAGTATTTGCGCTCCCTATAACCTGGGTTATGTCAGCAACATATTAATGATTTATAAACCACTTGAAATACGTCTGAAGTTATATAATGAATCCCTTTAAGAAAACAATATAGAGCAGGTAGAGTGGACTATTGCCTGATTTTAGAATGAAGTAATCTGCAGTGCTTGAACTTAGGAGAACATCTTTGTTTGCCCACTGGGTTTCTTGGGAAGCCATTGCAATCATCTGAAAAGGCACTTTATTGATCCAGAGAAAGCAAGAGAGACAGACTGAAAGAAAGCTGTTAATAGAGTGTCAGAGTGAGGCAGGAAAATATTTACAGCGGGAGTCATTTATTTAAAGAGCTGCTTCACTTTTTCCTCACCTCTGCCTCTTTTAGGGGTTTTTGGTCCACTATTTGATAAAATCTCTGGAATATAGAAGTGAATTTGCATGACTGTAGGGCTGATGTACACTGTTCCAAAAAATAGTAATGTCAAATGATTTTACTGTGTATTTTACAGATGTGTACTGTTTTTCTAGAATAGCATTACATTTACATAAGTAGACTGTGATCTGACACGTCAAATGTAAAATAACATAACATCACTGTAAATGTAATAAAACACAATTTACTTGTTTGTTAAATATATTTTGTTGTACATATGCATATTTAGATCGTAAAAATACATCCAGAAATGTCTCCCATCATGCCTTGGGGCATGTGCTGCTGTTTAGATGTTCTTGTTTTATTGTTTATGGTTACGTTACTTTTAACTGTTATCTTGAATGTTGTGTTTACGCCGTGGTGCAGCGTCACTGACAGTTGTTGTTTTGTAGAGAGAGTGCTGTACCATGAGTGACTTCTGTTGTGCTGTTGTTGAACCTTGAGGCACATTGTAGCACCGGCAAGTGTACTAGCTTGGGGTTAAATAACAAGCTCAATCTCTCTCTGTGAGCTTCTTTGTTAAGATTTCTCTGCATGCCACAATGTAAAACATTGCACGGACACGCTGTGCTAATTATATATTTTGAAAAAGAAATGTAGAGGTAGGAATTGCAATTAATATAAATAACATGACGCTAAGCATCGGCCAATGAATGTGAACTAACAACAAGGTCGCGGGTATGGCTGCGACCGTAGGAAAAAACCCTAATATGAAGGTATTTTACTGTGCATTTTACAGTAATGTTCTGTTCTTCTAGAATATCATTAAAGTTACGTAAATAGACTTTGACTTCACATTTTGAATGTAAATTAACGTTAAATCACTGTAATGTAATACAACATAATTGTCATGATTATTAAATGTATCTGTCTGTACATATGCATATTTAGATTGTTAAAATACATTCACAAATGTATCATGATTTCACAAATATCTGTCCGTTATTTGAAAGATTGAACTGTTGAATTCAAATGTAATGCTATGGAAAAGTATATAACATGATCCCTATAAGCTTGTGTTACATCACATAAGTATTATTATCGTTGCTAGTTAGGCCGTTCGTGGCTCAAGAGTTGGCAGTTCGCCTTGTGATCAGAAGATTGCCGGTTCGCGCCCCGGCTCGGACACTCTCCGTCGTTGTGTCCGTGGTCAAGACTCTTCACCTACTGCCTACTAGTGATAGCCAAAGGGGCCGATGGTGCGATATGGCAGCCTCGCCTCTGTCAGTCTGTCCCAGGGCATGCAATCAATTATTACGTAAACCAACTGTTAACTGTATATTTCTGTACATTTACTTATTATGATTCATATTTCCACATTCAGTGACCTTGTAGGTAATTTCATTGTTTGATCGCGTAAAAATGTTCCTAATTTAATGTCTAAAAGCACTTGGAAAAGGCAGAATCCCATGTCAAATTAGCGCAACAAACTCTATTTTCATTACTGAGAATAACCGTATTTTTATGGGACAGTTATTTTGTATTTTGGTGCCCCAGCTGCCAGAATATTACCGTTGTTTTAGGATGTTTTTTTTAACAGTGTAGAGTTTAACTTGAAAGGGAGTTTTTCCTCCCCACTTTTGCCAAGTGTTTGCTCCTGGGGGATCATCTGATTGTTGGGGGTTTCTTTCTAATATTGCAATGACTGAGTTTTAGCCTAAGATAAAAACACACGACAGAACAATATCACTTTTGTGAGTGTGAGCAAACATTTGACTTGGCAGACTTCTATGCGATCCTATTTTCCTACATGGCACATGTAGGTCAAACATAGCAAGTAAGAAAACGTGAAAATTCCTTTATTAACATAAGTAAGCAGATTAAAGTTAACTCAGCTCAAGCTCTGGGGTTTCCATCCCAACATGGAACAGACGTGACCGCTGCTGTCCTGAAACATTGGTGTGGAAGGATGCATCTCATAGTGGCTGGGCAGAGATATTCTTTTCACATGAGGGCCTGAAAGAAACCAGGAGGTCGGATGTTGCTGTTGATGATGATGTTTCCTGAAAATGACTGAAGGCAACTGAAAGCTTGCCAGCAGTTGTTATGCACACATACAGTGATGCCACTCTAACAGTGACACCAAGATATAATGTGTTATACAGAGATGGTGACATCATTTTTTGTTGAAATCCTACTGAAAGCATTTACACACATAGTTTTAAAATAAACAAATATTTAGCAAATGGGATATGAATTGTAGATTTATGTTTGTCTAGCTCTTAACACTCACTGAGACAATTAGTGCATTTAATAGCCACCCAGTCACCACATGCTTACATCCTAATTATGATTTGGCAATGTTATAAAAAGTAGGAAGGAAAATAAGCGATTACTTGAGTAGTTTTCTGCTAAGATTTGAAAACTTTTTTCCTCCCACAAACAGCTGTACATACTGTAGCTAATATCTACTTTTTGCTTGAATTTTACCGCATTAGATACATTTTGACTTTGATTTTTTGAGTCAAAATTCCCTGTGGGTATGTTTGTATTTAAGGCCCTGACTGCATCATTTTGCTGAGCTTGCGTCTAAATGTTGCTGGAGCTTGGAAAGTAACTTATTGCCACCTACTGGTACAAAACTGACATGGCCCCCCAGAGAGAAAAGAGGAAACTGACAGCATGCGAACAGCAAGGCTTCTTGGCTCAGTGAATGCACGTGATCATACGCAATTCATTATACTGAAAATATACCGACAACTCACTACAGTCCGTACTCTCCAGACAGTATAAGTACCGTATCCTTTTAAAGCAAATAAGGAATCTGTATCGCACTTCTATGTTTTCTGAAGCAGCTGGGATGCTATCAGATTGATTTAAACATTTTCCCTTGATTAATATTCTTCTTAGATATTGGAAAACACTTGAATTTCAAGAGAACTCCTCTCACTCTGTGAAATATCGACTGCTAACTTGAAATTTTCTATTTAAAAACAGAGAAGGCAGTAGGATGTGAATAAGAGGTAATATAGAGGGCAATAACTGACTTAAAGTAAGCCAAGAGCCACACACTGAGCAACTAACTTTAAAAAATAGCTCAGTTAAAATCCATACACTTGGTAGATGTAATAAACTGTAGTGCAGAAAGTCTTAAAACACACAGAAACACACACACACACACACAAAACCTTTCTTTTAAGGTAGATGTTTTTTCTACTACAACTGCTATGGCTTTCTGATTTATTCCTTTTGTGACTGTTTTACTGATCTAAACTATAATACCACTGGAGTGCACACCTACATCACTAAACAAACATTTTAAGGTAATATATGATAATATATTGTAAGGTAATATATGGGATACTTTAAGTTATTTTCTGTTGTTTTGTGCTTGTGTGACTGTATCTAACATATAAGTATGAATTTAAACTGTCATGAAACTTTCTCATTTAGCCTAAAAAGAAAAACTGGGGCCATCCTATCCTATGTTATATCTGCAAATCTGCAGCTCAAATTTATCCACTGGATGAATGGATTCTTGTTCATCACAGAAAAGTTTGTTTACACGTATCAGTAAAGACCACTTTGTTTCAATCAAGTTAAATCGCAGTACAGACTTATTGCAGTCATTTGGCCAGAGATTCATTTACATAACGTTGCCTTTTATTGATTCAGTGAGAGGTTGTTTAGTTTTCCTTTCAGGGTGTCGGATGTCAGATAAAGGTTATCTGTAGGCAGGCACTTTGCCTTTATGTGGCCTAAAAGGTCACCAGAAAGGTTTACCCTCATTTTTTCAGCACTTACCAACTTGTAAATCAAGCTAATGTGCTCTGCAACTCAAAAGTCAATCAAAGCTGGAGACTATACTCGTAATGCACAAGTTAGTTTATTGTATGCTCAGTTTTTATCAGTTATTTTTTTGTTTTTATAATAATACTAATAAAACACGAGAGTCTGCACGCAGGAAACATGGAAGCATCTTCATTTTCAAACTTCTTCCACTTATGCGATGCATGAGAGCTAAAGACATCACTGATATATGTCTTAAATCTCTTCATTGTGTCACCCCTTTTCAAGTTTTGATCCTTTTTTTCCCTCTGGTACACCAGATGCTGCCGTTCCCTGTTTTTCCATATTGTTTTGACTTTTAACTGGCTTTTTTTTGTGGCTGTATCCTTTCATTTCCTGCTTGTCCAACCATTCCTTCCACTGGTTGTCCATCATCAAAGCCTCTCTTCCACTATCATCCTTACTCTCATGGCTGAATTCACTGGAAATGAAGCTTTGCGTAGTGCAGAAGTGATTAGCGGCGCTGTCCCAGATAGGAGTGACATCTGAGGAAGAGCTCTGATTTTTCTGTTGCTTGCATGTACCTGAGTCTGGCTTCCCTTGTACATCTTTGGAGATGTTTCTGTTTTCTGTTGAGTCAGTGTCACTGGAATCACTGGTCAATGAAATCTTTAAGGATTCCTCTTTCAGGCTTTTTCTCAATATGAACATGCTGTTTGTGTCATTGTGTTTCAGAAAAGGCTAATGTTTTTGGTATCTCCCCATCTTCGTAGTCTTCGTCAGTGTTTTCGAATCCTCCCGCCATTTCCCTTTGCCACCTCGACGCCAACCTCAGGTCCGAGCCCAGCTTGCTGCAGCACAATGGTGTCTTGTCTGTTTCTTCCAACAATAGTTCTCTCAGCTGTTCCTGAAGCTCAGCTGCCATCTCCTCTCTCAGGGCCTGATTCATGAGAGAAAACTCTCTACGCAGTTCTGCAGTTTGCTTCTCCACTTGTCTTTTTACCATCGTGCTGATCCACGTCATGCAGAACCTCCTGTCAGCTGCTGATGGATTTCTCCTAACGACCAGTAATGAAAACAAAAAGTCGATGACTAAAAACAGAGATTCAATGCTACATTTTTGAATTGGTTATATAAAGTAATTATTTAGCTCTTTCTTGCAAATATGATTTTGGCTGAAAAAAGATACAAAAAAAAAAGTACCTGAGTTTAGAGAAACTGAAGCGTGTGTTTCTTGAAGATTTTGCCATCCCAAATTCTGTGAGGGAAAACAAGTGAGGGCTTTATTTGTTGGCATTGAATGCCAATGCCATTATTTTTATTCTACACCAAACTGTAGAATACTAGCGATGCATAAATATTTCCATTGAATAAAGCTTAACTTACACTTACCTCTGCAGTTGACCTTTCTTCAGAAATATCTATTTTTCTTTTGTATACATTTGAAATTGACAGATCTTAGAAACGTGTTCTCTAGCATTTTTGGCAGTTGTCACGAACCTAGAAAAATAACAATAAAAATAACAAATGTCCTTTGTTAAAGCGCAGGCTGTTCTATTATACGTATAATTTTATCTTCAAAAATAATACTAATACATAATATTAATCTATTAATTAATACTGGTGTTTTACTTTTTCTTTGGTTAAATATATAGTTTCTTTGTTTCTTATTGAAATCAGGACAATAACAGCATAGATCTAACTCTGGACTACAATGTCTAGACTTAATATGATAGGGATTGTCCATTTCTGCCAGTCTTTTGTCACTATGGGACAAATTGTGTAAATTGTTTCCCATTAGCGACCAGCCTGCCGTTCTATGCTGTGCCAGAATCTCCAGCACCAACAGGTGGCTGCTATTTCTAAGTCATGATTATGACCACAGCCCACAGTTACTAAAAAAAGGCTTTCAGTACCACAGCAATACTTTTCATCTCATTTTACTCTTTGTTCCCTGACCCTTTGATCAAGCTCTACTTTGCCATCTCATTAGTCTGTATATGTATACACTATATCACAGATGTTAAGGACTGTTGCTTATTTGTAAATTTGTATAAAAAAGAAGCATGACAGTTGCAGGCCCTGAGTGTGAGACACTGGCATCCACAATAGTGCCAATTCAGTGTCCTCACATTAGCGTGCCGCATGCCATTTATGAGCTTAGAGCATTCTTGTACCCATTTATATACACAACTGCTGCTGACACGCTGACTGAGGGGCAGCACAAATACCCTGGCACACATCTTCAAATAGTCGCACACAGATCCGCTCTGATGAACTTTTGTGAGCTGTGCTGCTGTGGGAGACTTTAGACCGTTTGCTCGTTCTTTCATCCATGAGCTCCACAAAATCAGGGGTGAGTTCAGTGCATTAATGCAATACTAGGACTCCTCTATCGTTTATTTTTAGCTTGTCCAGATGAAGGGCTGATGAGTTTTGTGCCATTGTGAGTTGCAAGAGTTGTTTTTGGTCCTAGAGTATTGGTGAAACTTGCCCTCAACGAGGTCTTCACACGAAAAGTGCTCGAGGGTATGGTTACAATTTTGTTTTTTTGTAAGAGCGATGTCCGCAACTTAAAGGAATTTTGTAGTTTGACATTTCGCTAAATACAATCTGTGGTTCACTGGTTTCAAATTACACACCTGAGAGCCTCTAACTGAGGTTCATGTGGATGGATGTTTATTATTGATCAGCTTTGCCCTAATATCATGACTCAGCATGAATGAAGCATCCATCGCCACTCAGCTTAGTGATCTTTATCCTTGCGTATAAGTCGCACATCCTTACAAAGATGGACGCATCAAGATGGGTTGGCGTCGGCCTTCAATATACCGTACAGCATAAACCGAGCTCTTTTGTGTGTGTTCACTCAACAGATGATGCTGTTTATGCGCAGAATCTAATGCTGTTGGGTTCTGCCTTATAATATAGACAGGCTGCAAAAAGAAAACAGCATACGATCAGGCCAAGTTCATCCATAGAAGTGAATTCATATGGAAATAAATGAAAGGTTTCCCGATGAAAGTGCAGAATACACACACAAACATTTATATTCGATAGAAAAGAAATTCATCAAAAAAAAAACACCCCATAGTGTATGAATCAGTGCAGTGACAAGATAGATGTACTTGGCAGAAATCTCTGTGATAATTTACTGTGTGTAGATGCAGAGAGTGAGAGAGGAAGTCTTTTTGTTTTTTTCCTAACAGTGCTACTGAAGTGTCAATCACAGTGTGTAAATTGGGAATGTTACTTTCCAGCCATCAGCCATCTGTTCATCTCCTTCTTTCTGCCTTTTTTATCTGCTTGAAATCTCTCCTGATGATCAAACTCATCTGCAAACCAATACATTAGCAGGACACACCATTAGTTTAAAGGAGGAAATTTACCCGGCATATCTATCTATGAACCCACAAAATCTTAATTTATCTCATATTTTGGGATTGCTTTCACGCTGACTACACTGACTATACTAACAGACAGTGATAGTGTAGCCTTCTGTGAAGTCACTGCAGAGCCAGTGTAAACTGCATTTTGGATAAATAATGTCCTGACCCTGGCGCATGGACAGTTTTCATCAGGAATGTTCATGAATAAGCATTTTTTTATTAATTGAACGAGAATTCCTAAGTATTATAAGAAAGCTTTCTAAGGGGCCAGTTACTGGTTATAATAGAACCATGTGGCTGTATGAGTGTGCATGTGGGTGTTGTTACAATGAAGGAGGATGAATCACTGGCTGAAACTTGCAAGGTTTGCTACTACAGTACCTCAGGTCTGGAGTGTGGGCTTCTTTCCAGGTCTGGAGTGTGGGCTGCTGTGATGACACACTGTGTGGGGGAACAATCCCAGGTTGTACGAGGAATAGCCCGTCCCATCCCCCCCAAAATTAAAATAGCTTTTGCGCTATATCCTGCATTTCCTGCTATATATCTGTTTGCATGTATTTGTGGTTAATGCGTGGGCTTGAGCTGCATCACAATGTGATATACAGTTATTACATCAGGAAATCCCCCAAGTATGTTCCATAATACTGGAAAGAAACTGGGAATATTTTGGGTGTGCTATTTCCAGGACATGAAAGGATTTTTTTTTTAATCACAGTGGGGAACGCAGGCAACTGAGAACATTTACAACCGAAAGGGGAAAAATACGGTCTTCATAGTAGAAGAAAATGTCTTTTCTAGGCTGCTAGCTATATACCCACTGAACCACTAGATGACAATTTGATAATATTTGATAATATTTGTTTAGTTATGTTTAGTTCGTGTTTTATTTTCGTGCGGTTTAGTTGCTCACGTCAGTGCTTTATGTGAAAGGGTTATATAGAATAGAATAGAATTCAACTTTATTGTCATTGCACATGCACAGGTAAAGGGCAACGAAATGCAGTTTGCATCCATCAAGAAGTGCTTTAGTGATATAGATATATTACAATATATATTAGCAATAATATAGATATGTAAGTATATTACAGAAATGGGTCTATTATGGTATGTTATAATGTACACGGTATGAAGTATGTTGTGAATATGCTATAACTATAAGTATGTAGGCTGTAGTGAGTACAAGCTATGTACAGGATATGGACAGGATATAAATATGAAAAACTGAATATGAAATAAATAACTTGAAATAAATATGCCAGCTATAGTAACAGTAGCTCATGGATGGGTGGTGTGGCGGGGTCTGCGATGGTGCTGCAGGTGAGATGGACGCACCTGCGCGGCATCTGCTATCACGCCAACTTAAAAGGCTTTGCTCAGTCTGAGTTGTGGTTGTTGTTGGTGATGTGTGCGGCCGGCAGTGGTAGAGCTGTGGCCGTTCGTGTATGTTTAACAGCAACTGTGAAATAAAGCATGCTGAAGAGCATTGAAATGTCCTGGTCTGCTGCGCCCCCCCATCCTGGGTTTTGGCACCACTGTAAGTGACCACGGCAGATCCAACGACATGAACATGCTTTGCAGGATCGTTTATTCACACACTGTTTATACGGTTGCTGTTACAACACGCAGCTGCAGCTCTTCCGCTGGCAGCTCAACATACCAACAACAACACTCAAGACAGGACCCATTACAGCTTTTGAGCTGGCTCGATTGTAGATGCTGCGCAGGTGCGTCCATCTCACCTGCAGTGGCATCGCAAGCCCCGCCCCGCCACAGGTGGATAAATTAAGAGAAGCCTCAGATTAAATACATACATTGAACATAAGGAAAAGGCATTTCACCCACACACCAGTGCTTTTCAGCATGTGGCCTGTACAGTCTTACCTGGATGTACAAAGCTCAGTCACGATGTATCTGCAGAAACTAGAAATCACCCAAAGGGAACAGAATGTTTCAGAGTGAAACATGAACAAAGAGTTCAGCAAGACATAAAATCTATTATTTGCCATGAAATTCCTTCATGGACTACCTCAATTAAATTTAGGATTCTTTTTGGAAATCTGTGAAAAATAAATTTCCATTACTTCCATTTGTATTGTGAACTGGTACAGACAGTCCCTAAAGTCACAGACAGATTCAAAATTGCAGACAGCTCAGCTGCTCGCACCATTTAACTTTTTTTAAAAGTTGTTTTTAAAGGTTCACTATGTAACGTTCAACAAAATGTTTGTTAGCGATGACACCGGAGGCCTTTATGTGAATTTTAGCATGTTGCCTCACGCTGCTGCCTGTGAACCATCAGGCAACTGCATAAAAACACATGGAAACAATGAGGGACAGTATTGCTGAGATAGTTTTGATAATATAGAGAAAGAAAATGCAAGATTACCTTTTGAGTTTGGGAGGAGACTTTGTTTTTCAAAGTCATTCTGTAGTTTGTATCATGTAATGCCAAGCCAACTTCACTGCTCTTTGTTCTGCCTTCTTTTGCTTCTAATGTCAAGGTTTATTTAATGTGTCGGATTGTGTGTGTAATACTGCATGAGAGGAATATGCGACAGTGACTGAATGATGCAAGTATAGCTTAGATTTTTAGGAAGAGATGAAGAAAGGAATTGTAATTATAAGCTATTTTATATTACATGATAGAATCAATTGAGCTAAGTACAGTGTTAGGTTCTGTGTCCACAGGCAGTGTATGAAACCAAATTCATTTTCAGGTCTTCTTGAATACTGATCACATTTATTGACAGCCAGGAGCAGTTTCTTCTCAGCCATTGTTGACAATGCTGAGGATGGGCATCCCACCACTTCTTGATTTTGATTGTTGGACTGGTGCCCCCCATGACCCAAACCCAGATAAGTGGTAGAAGATTGATGGATGAAAGCTTTTCATTAATGGAGTCTTTGCACCAAGGATTCTGAGCACGTCAGAGCTAAGCTTTACATGAATTTTACAAAACAAATGAAAACACATTGCCTGTTCAAACACATGATTTTAGCATTAAAACGGGCATCTCTAATCAAAATATG